TCAAATCTTAACAATTATAAGGATATATAAGTTAGACCTATTCAAATACAAATCTGTAATTTAAAAAATATATATACTCCTTAAGGGTTAATTAGTAGATTTATCATATATATACTTTTCTATAAGCAGCAATTAACTCCTGGGTTATATTTAGTGATTGACTCTGAATATGTTATAGCATGTACTTTCTAAATAGTTAGAAGTACATTCGTACCTTACAGTACATAGTACCTTTTGTAGTTATTATTATACCTTTCTGCAAATAAAATATTATTATTATTATCATTATTATTATTATGCTGCGCTCTTGAAATGGTCAGAACCCCAATTATAGAAGTAATTATATTACCCAAGGACCTATAACTTATATCTTTTTGTATTGAAGTGTGATTTACAAAATGAATTTCTGGTGGATCATGATGAATGGCATCAATTTATTTAGCTATAATCCCTGCCAGGTGCATTTAAGTTCTTCATTGGGATAAACACTTACATCAGTTTCTATAGAGGCTTTGGCCATCGCAGGAGCAGGCTGACCTATTTTATATATATATATATATATATATATATATATATATATATATATATATATATATATATATATATATATATATATATATATATGCGGAAAATCCACAGAGAAATATGTAATGAGGTGAACGTTTCGGCTTTGTTAAAGCCTTTGTCAACACCAGACTGACTGTCTGGTGAGTCAGTCTGGTGTTGACAAAGGCTTTAACAAAGCCGAAACGTTCACCTCATTTCATATTTCTCTGTGGATTTTCCGCATAAAATGATCAGTGTTTTGTGATCGTCAATTGCATATATATATATATATATATATATATATATATATATATATATATATATATATATATATATATATATATATATATATATATATATATACCTCTCCACGACGTGTATATTCTTGTTCTTGTCATATAGTGACTTCATTGGTCAAACTGTATTCGGTTTTCAGGCGCATTCTTGTGTAAATATTTCTTTCGTTTGTGGATTAGATAGATTGTCATTTCTTTCAATTGTGGGTTAGATAGATGGTCATTTCCTTCATGTTATCATGAAGGAAATGCGAACCTTTCAACCCATCCTCCTGTTTTGGCAGCACTTTATAGTAACGACGAGCACCATAGTACATATACCGACATACAAGACAATTAGTAAGTCGAAATCTGTACTATTGAATTTGGACAAACCGGAAAAGGTTTAGGATTTATGTTTATGAAAGAAACAGCCTAACCTAGCCTTCCTAGGCCCTAATACACGCTACCTGAGGCCTAATATAGTACATATGTGTGCTTTACTAGGCCTGGGAATTTTGAAGTTTGTTCTTTAGATAAATTTTGTGGACTCTATAAAGTGAATAGTACGAAATTAGACTAAGTGCTTCGTAAGTCAATGTTTGTACTATGTGCACATAGAAAAACAGGAGGGTGGATTGTGCTCCTTAGGGTAGGGTTGCATTGGGTCGAGTTTGGTTAGAGTCAGTTTTAATAATAATTTAAGTTTAATTTAAGAATATCAGTTGTTGTTCTTCTTTCAAATCATTCTTAATGTTACGGGCAATTTGCACGAAGCAAATGAGTAGTTTAATGATGCTGTAGTTTAAGATGACGGCTTAATTGCTCGGTGAGTGGCCTGTTTTGGGGAGGATTAAGATGCTTAGTGAATAGTTGAGGCTTCATATATTATGCTCACTGAGCGGGATTTATTTACCAGCTTAAGCTTACTGAGTGGGACAAGCTTAATTGATCGTACTTAATCTATACGAATAGTTTGATTGGTCATCCTGAGTAAATCCACCTGATGGATTTATGATTCGGGAGGCGTGTAGTAAGGAGGGAGGGATTTATCAGGGAAAAGCGCCACGCTATTACGACTATATAGCACTGGGAAGAGGTCAGGATAAGGATTTGGGATGGGACGGGGGGGGGGGAAGAATTGTGCCTAGCCACTTTGGGACGGTCGGGGAATTGAACGCCGACCTGCATGAAGCGTGGACTGCCCATTAGTCTGTGTACTAGTCCCTCCTTCAGTAGTTCCTCTGACTCAGTACCACCAGCAGGCCTCTCATATCACGCGTTCCTGTTCGAATTATTGAAAACATGTTCGAATTATGCAAAACACTTTCGAATTATTGAAATTATGTTCGAATTATTCAAAATTACTATATAACCGTTACCAAATTCAGTTCTTAATCCCGATAACAACAATGAAACAAGCTAATTACTCGCCAAATTCATAAGAAAGAAGACATCTTCATCATCTTCAAGAAGACATCTTCATCATCTTCAAGAAGACATCTTCATCATCTTCAAGAAGACATCTTCATCATCTTCAAGAAGACATCTTCATCATCTTCAAGAAGACATCTTCATCATCTTCAAGAAGACATCTTCATCATCTTCAAGAAGACATCTTCATCATCTTCAAGAAGACATCTTCATCATCTTCAAGAAGACATCTTCATCATCTTCAAGAAGACATCTTCATCATCTTCAAGAAGACATCTTCATCATCTTTAAGAAAACATCAAAATCTAGTTTCTAGATTTTCTTTGACAATGTCAACGGCGCGACGCTTGGATCAGAGAGAGATATCTTGACCGTGTCTTATACGTCCTTGATTCTAGACTACGGAGAAAGGAGATAGGTCACAACTGAAGAAATAGGTGTATAGAGGAGAGGGAGAGAGAAGACGAGGAGAGAGCAGCTCCCTACTCCCTTGAGGCGGGCAGACCGTCTCCCCACACCCTTGAGGCGGGCAGACCGGCTCCCCACACCCTTGAAGATAACAGACCGGCTCCCCACACCCTTGAGGCGGGCAGACCGGCTCCCCACACCCTTGAGGCGGGCAGACCGGCTCCCCACACCCTTGAAGATAACAGACCGGCCCCCCACACCCTTGAGGCGGGCAGACCGGCTCCCCACACCCTTGAAGATAACAGACCGGCTCCCCACACCCTTGAGGCGGGCAGACCGGCTCCCCACACCCTTGAAGATAACAGACCGGCTCCCCACACCCTTGAAAAGAGTAAATAAGCTCCACATACCTAGGAGACAGACTCCAAGAGACAGAAAAAGACCAAAATACAAGCCCTCACTGGCCCCAAAGACACAAGATAACCTTCCCCACCTCAAGACACACCAACCCAACACCCCCCAGGAAGGAAGGGGAAGGAAGAAAAGGGGGGGGGGGATTCAAAAACCCCCTACAAGAACAGATATCCGACCAGCTTCCTCCCCCCCCCCCCTTCAAGCGGGGGGGACGCCACGAGACTAACTCACCAGCACAAAACTGGCGCCGTCGTGGAAACGTCTCTTCGAGGCTGCGGGCTCACCATAGCCCGTGCTACTTGGAACTTTGTGGTTCCAGATAGCGAATCTTAAACAACAACAACAACGTCTCTTGCAGGTACCCAAAAATTTGGGGGATGTAAATTAAAATCAAATCCCCCTCCCTTCCTTCCTTCCCCCAACCCCCCCTACTCCCCAACCCCCCTCCCTTCCGGAGGACGAGGGCACTTTCCTGAAGAAAGATAACACGTTCACCACGTCCTGCGTGAGGAAGATAACAAGGTTACCACGTCCTGAAAGGAGGAAGATATCCAGCCCACCACGCTCTGGAGGGAGCAAGATAACCAGCCCACCAGGCCCTGGAGGGAGGAAGATAACACCACCACCAGGCCCTGGAGGCAGCAAGATAACAACACCACTAGGCCCTGGAGGGAGCAAGATAACCAACCACCAGGCCCTGGAGGATAGCAGCACCAGGGCGATGATCCGCCGACGGGACCCGCAAGAGGGCGGGTACTACCTCAAGAAGCTGCAGGTGGAGGAGGGCTTCCACACGCACAATGGTGGTGAGTGGTTGCTACTGGTAGAATAGTGGTGGTGGGGGGGAGTAGAGAGTGTATGACTGGGGGTAGAATAATGATGGTGGTGGGGGGTGTAGAGAGTGTATGACTGTGGTAGAATAGTAGGGGTGTAGGGAGTATAACTAGGGGAAGGGGTAAGAGTCCTTACCTATCCCAGTTACAGCCCCGCTCCTGTGCCAGGTAAGTCCACCACGGGCTCACCATAGCCCGTGCTACTTGCAACTTTGTGTTTCTAGTAGCTGAATCTACAAAAAAATTCTACAAGCGGAATTTCTTCCGCTTATTTTAGTTTCCAACTTCCACCTGTGTCTTCTTGTCCTGCTTTCTCTTAATTGAAAATCGCCATCCTCGTCCACCTTGTCTATTCTCATCAGTATTTTGTATGTTGTGATCATATACCAACTGGTTGTGAGATTCTCTCTTAGTTCTGAATTTAACACTCATCGCAAACCTCTTCTTTTTTATTTGTGTTTTGAGCCTTGCAAGTCCAGGTCCAGGCCGCGATTTCCATAACCCGTCGTCCACGAATGATAGTACGTATAGCGACTAATGGTCGAACGTACAAAAATGAACTGTTGTACTCTAAATGGACCAGGTTTTGTACCATTAGTTCTGTAGCGGACAGGAGAAATGAAGTACTAATCAAACCTAAACTGTTCTGGTCTTGTATGGCATATATGTGTGCTACATTAGGCCTAACGGCACGTTTATTAGGCCTAGGACAGGGTAAGATATAAAGGAACAAATATTTCGGATATTTGGTGCTCCTGGAGTCGGATATTTGGTGCTCCTGGAGTCGGATATTTGGTGCTCCTGGAGTCGGATATTTGGTGCTCCTGGAGTCGGATATTTGGTGCTCCTGGAGTCGGATATTTGGTGCTCCTGGAGTCGGATATTTGGTGCTCCTGGAGTCGGATATTTGGTGTTCCTGGAGTCGGATATTTGGTGTTCCTGAAGTCGGATATTTGGTGTTCCTGAAGTCAGATATTTGTTGTTCCTGGCGTCGGATATCTGGTGTTCCTGAAGGCAGTGTGGTGTTCCTGACGAAGGAGCGAGTTCCTGAAGACTTCGATGCTGACACTAGTCCTTGTGTGTTTTCCAGAGGTCCAGGAGATGACGGAGAGGCTGTTTAAGGTCATCATCATTGGGGACCCGACGGTAGGGAAGACGTCCTTCGTCCAGCGCTACGTCCAGGACTCCTTCAGGAGGGACTACAAGGGCACCGTCGGCGTCGACTTTGCCCTCAAGATCCTCAAGTGGTCAGACTCAGAGACGGTCAAGTTACAGCTCTGGGATATTGCAGGTGAGCCAAGGGTGTGTGGGAGACTTGGGGCCTAGGCTGTGGGAGGAGACTTTGGGCCTAGGCTGTGGGAGGAGACTTTGGGCCTAGGCTGTGGGAGGAGACTTTGGGCCTAGACTGTGGGAGGAGACTTTGGGCCTAGGCTGTGGGAGGAGACTTTGGGCCTAGGCTGTGGGAGGAGACTTTGGGCCTAGGCTGTGGGAGGAGACTTTGGGCCTAGGCTGTGGGAGGAGACGTGGGCCTAGGCTGTGGGAGGAGAAGAAGATATCAAAGCATCAGTTCAAAGTATAAACTCATGATATCAGGTTAATGTGGGCTTCCAGAGACGGATCTTACCTTATGTCTCGCTTCCTGTTCCCAACACACAGGTTCATTACCTTGCACTTGCTTGACTTAAACTCTAGATATCACTTATTAGACCATTATTTTAATCTGTACTGGAGGTTAAGCTGTAGCTTTCTGTATATTTATGTTCCTCGTTATTTTTTGCATCAGAAAACATCGAGAGGAATGACTTTGTCCCCTCTGGAAACCCCCCGTCCCATCTGGAATCCTTATCCTGATCCGTTCCTTCCTTCCCAGTGCTATATAGTCGTAATGGCTTGGCGCTTTTCCCTGATATTCCCTCCCCCATCCCCGCCCCCCCCCCCCTCTTAGGTGGAGTAGTGTGTCAAAGGCCTTCTGACTCTCCAAAAATATACAGTCTATTCACCCTTCTGAGGCTAGTGTGAGCCTTGTCACCCTGTCAAAGTATGCTTTCGACGTTGTTAACCAAGTTTTCACCCTGTCAAAGTGTGCTTTCAACGTTGTCAATCAAGTTTTTACCCTGTCAAAGTATGCTTTCAACGTTGTCAATCAAGTTTTCACCCTGTCAAAGTATGCTTTCGACGTTGTCAATCAAGTTTTCACCCTGTCAAAGTATGCTTTCGACGTTGTCAATCAAGTTTTCACCCTGTCAAAGTATGCTTTCGACGTTGCCAATCAAGTTTTCACCCTGTCAAAGTATGCTTTCGACGTTGTCAATCAAGTTTTCACCCTGTCAAAGTATGCTTTCGACGTTGCCAATCAAGTTTTCACCCTGTCAAAGTATGCTTTCAACGTTGTCAACCAAATTTTCACCCTGTCAAAGTATGCTTTCAACGTTGTCAACCAAGTTTTTCACCCCGTCAAAGTATGCTTTCGACGTTGCCAACCAGGTTTTGTCATCCTTAAACCCATATTGGTGATGCGTTATAATGTTCCTCCCCCTCCAGAACTTACCACCTTCTTATAATCCTTCCAAGCAAATATGGGACACTGACTTGTAGTTCAGTGTTGTAGTTCAGTGAAACTTGTAGTTTCAGTGTAGTTTCAGTGTCTCTCTGTCTCCTGTTGTTTATATTGCCGCTATATTGACTGTCTTCAACCTTCGTGGCAGTTCTCCTATATCCAGGCACAGATACATGGGGATTCCCGCTCTATGAATGTATTTCTAAATCTGTAAAGAATGCATTTAAGAGTAAATTTGATAAATGTTAGAAATTAATTTTTAACTTGGATAAGATACTGTTTGAGCCACAAGGCTTAAGTATCAGGTGCTAGAGTATCAGACCTCACAGTATCAGGTGCTAGAGTATCAGGCCTCACAGTATCAGGTGCTAGAGTATCAGGCCTCACAGTATCAGGTGCTAGAGTATCAGACCCCACAGTATCAGGTGCTAGAGTATCAGGCCTCACAGTATCAGGTGCTAGAGTATCAGACCTCACAGTATCAGGTGCTAGAGTATCAGACCTCACAGTATCAGGTGCTAGAGTATCAGACCTCACAGTATCAGGTGCTAGAGTATCAGACCTCACAGTATCAGGTGCTAGAGTATCAGACCTCACAGTATCAGGTGCTAGAGTATCAGGCCTCACAGTATCAGGTGCTAGAGTATCAGACCCCACAGTATCAGGTGCTAGAGTATCAGGCCTCACAGTATCAGGTGCTAGAGTATCAGACCTCACAGTATCAGGTGCTAGAGTATCAGGCCTCACAGTATCAGGTGCTAGAGTATCAGGCCTCACAGTATCAGGTGCTAGAGTATCAGGCCTCACAGTATCAGGTGCTAGAGTATCAGACCCCACAGTATCAGGTGCTAGAGTATCAGACCTCACAGTATCAGGTGCTAGAGTATCAGACCTCACAGTATCAGGTGCTAGAGTATCAGACCTCACAGTATCAGGTGCTAGAGTATCAGACCTCACAGTATCAGGTGCTAGAGTATCAGACCTCACAGTATCAGGTGCTAGAGTATCAGACCTCACAGTATCAGGTGCTAGAGTATCAGACCTCACAGTATCAGGTGCTAGAGTATCAGGCCTCACAAGAAATGAAAAAATCCACAAGGGCCGTGACGAGGATTCGAACTTGCGTCCGAGTGCATCCCAGACGCTGCCTTAATCGACTGAGCTACGACATGGTCAAAAAGGAGTTAAAACCAAAGTTCTACAGAACTTACTGGATCCTGCAGCCTCTCCGAGGCACAAACCAGGGTTTTACACAGCTCCCCCCATGCACTCGAGCTATGCAGACCTCATAATATCAAGTGTCAGGATGTTTGAGACAGCAATTGACGAGATCAGTAACGTATATCCCATCAAGTATCACAGATATACTCCAACCCGTTCTCGCACTTTCGTATAGTCAATATTGACTTATTAAATACGTGCATATGTGACATACTAAACATACTAATTTACCTTGAAAAGCTTCATAGAAAACACCGACCTTACCTAACCTTCTTAGTATGTTAAGATAAGCATCTTATTGCTTCATAATTACAATTATTACTTAACCTATTATAGGTGTAGGATAAGTAATAATTGTAATTACGAAGCAATAAGATGCTTATCTTAACATACTAAGAAGGTTAGGTAAGGTCGGTGTTTTCTATGAAGCTTTCCAAGGTAAACTAGTATGTTTAGTATGTCACATATGCACGTATTTAATAAGTCAATATTGACTGTAAGAAAGTGCGAGAACGGGTTGTATACTCACCTAGTTGTGCTTGCGGGGGGTTGAGCTGTGGCTCTTGGGCCACGCGGGTGCCCTAGTTATGAACCAGCGGGTGTTGGGGTTCAACAGGTCAGGAGCGGTTCACGTGGATGACCCGAGTATACTACAAGGACGCCCAGGGGTGTATCGTCATGTTTGACCTCTCCAACCGCAACTCCTTCCTCAATACACTCAAGTGGAAGAAGGATGTCGACTCCAAGTGTACTCTTGAAGACGGGAGCCCCATCCCTTGTATGCTGCTAGCTAATAAGGTCAGTATTACCTCCTCTTCCCGCCCTCATGCTGTTTAGTAATCGGGTCAATAATCTTCAAGTCGGCAGCCAATGGGACTCGTGCTGACCCATTGTTTTTTTCATGCTTATTAACCTGCCAAAAATAAAAGAGTTAGATTGAATTCTCTATAAGTTACCTAATAAATTACCTTCTAGGTTATTATTCAAAAATTCTATATTATATTGAATAACAATTAGGTGAGAAAGGTTAGTTCTGAACGCTGTTACAAAGGAATAAATGGCAACACAACATTTCTGCAATGCTATAGTTGCTACAAGACTGCAAGATTCATGATTGTTCTTGCAGTAGATAATGATAAGTGGTGGATGATCGAGTCTAATCAACCCAGAGCATGAGATGGCGTGCTACAATGGGTAACTCGTGCATACACGCTTCGAGTCATCTCTTTCATACTTTTAAACCAACGGTTGAAGGTGGTTTCCCCCCCACACTCCCTCGCTCTGGGAGTCATGATGTTCTAATTGCCAGTAATGTAATTACTGGGAAATGATATTAAGTGATTATATATAAATGGATAGTAATGAGAGATGCAATTTTGTGGGGAGTAGCAGGTAGATATAACTAGTCTGAAATATGGTAAGCTAGAATAACATAAATAAGATTAGGTTAGGTTAGGCTAGGTTAGGTTAGGTTGGATTAGGTTTGGTTCAGTTAGAATGCATATGCTTCTGTGTAAGTATTTGTGGGAGATTGTAAAAAGAGTTTTTGTCTGTGTATATGTTTCTGAAGGTAGAATGTGTGTGTGTGTGTGTGTGTGTGTGTGTGTGTGTGTGTGTGTGTGTGTGTGTGTGTGTGTGTGTGTGTGTGTGTATACATTTTGTGAGAGTATGTTTTGATTAGTGCAAGTATGTTTGTGTTGGAAATAGTGTTGAATACATTTGTGAGTGTGTGATGCTGAAATATTTCCTAACTGTTGCAATTATTAAATATATATATATATATATATATATATATATATATATATATATATCTTATAAAATATGCAGATTTACTACTTATATAAAAACATTATATATATGGATGTCTAAGATGATAGAGATGATGTGCTATTAACAATTCACATTAGATGGACGGCTCGGTTGACGTATATAATTATTATTAATAATTAAGATGAGGTGACAATACTTGAGGATTAACAATACAAATGGTTTTGAAGTTTTGTAACAAATATTCTTCAAAAAAGTGACTTTTAATAGCTATCCCAATGCTGATTTTCTTGACAAGTTTTAATTATTAAATAAAATGAATTTCAGTAACTTTTTAATTAGCCAAACATTAAAAGTAAATGATTTTGTTTATGAAAATGCAACTCTATCCCCTTATCCTAACCTACCAGAGGATCCAAAACAGAAAACGGGACAGTACGTCACTTTCGCCAGCCGCTTCCATTTTCTAGTACGACAATTTTTGGCCTTAGGTGACGCATACGATCGAAAAACGACGTTCTTTGTAAGAGAACAGGTTGGCTGAGGACACACTCGATTCCTGACTGTAGGTTTGATCGTCAGAAGACCTGCGCGTATATATGTGTTTTTAGTTATATCCTTTGGTTTTTAAGGACGTTAGAAATACGTATTTATGTCAAACGTTACCTTTGTGGCACTATTTAAAAACGTCCACAAACGTTGTGTGTTTGCTGGGGCAGCTCCTTGCTCAGAGAGGTGTAGGAGGAGGAAGATAGCCGAATGCCTTTGGTTGCAAGTGTGTCAATCGTGTGTGTGTGTGTTTGCAGGGGCAGCTCCTTGCTCAGAGAGGTGTAGGAGGAGGAAGATAGCCGAATGCCTTTGGTTGCAAGTGTGTCAATCGTGTGTGTGTGTGTTTTTCTTGCAGTGTGACCTCCCACACAGGCAAGTTGATCAGCTGGAGATCGAGAAGCTCTACAAGGAACACAACTTCACCGGCTGGACTGAAACATCTGCCAAGGAGGGACTCATGGTCACTGATTCCATGAGGTGAGTTACCGCACTCTTCCTGTCCCTCACTGAGTCAATGAGATGAGTTACCGCACTCTTCCTGTCCCCTCACTGAGTTCATGAGATGAGTTACCGCACTCTTCCTGTCCCCTCACTGAGTTCATGAGGTGAGTTACCGCACTCTTCCTGTCCCTCACTGAGTCCATGAGATGAGTTACCGCACTCTTCTTGTCCCCTCACTGAGTTCATGAGGTGAGTTATCGCACTCTTCCTGCCCCTCACTGAGTCCATAAGGTGAGTTACCGCACTCTTCCTGTCCCCTCACTGAGTTCATGAGGTGAGTTACCGCACTCTTCCTGCCCCTCACTGAGTCCATGAAGTGAGTTATGGTACTCACCTTGTCCGTCACTCAATCATTATAACATCATCAAATACCTCCTTCTTAGTTCATCACAAAAATAACATAAATGTGAAAACGCCTTCATTTTTAGTTCACTGATAACATAGTTTTAGAGTACTGAATCTACAGAGAAAAATAGAACTTAAAACAACATTACAATACAATAGAAGGAAGAAGGGAAGGTCTATTGAACCATAAGAGGCAACTGTGTTGTTATACCCACCAAAACTTACCACTAACATGTTGTATCCTGCAGGTTCCTGGTGGACGTGATGATGAAGCAGAACGACAGTCGAGAGGAAGACTCTTCTGAATTGTCACTGCGACTGTCCTCTATTGAACTGGAGAAGCCGAAGCCCTGCTACTGCTAACTGTCCACCTGCTACTCCTACTGCTGCCCCGGGTTCTGAGACGGGCGTTTAGCCACCGTCTCCCACTGAGCTCGTTCTGCCAGAATTATTGACGCAGGAGACAAGTTTCTTCGGGATGCCTGCCCGCCATGTTGCGTCCGCCACACAGCTGGGCTGGGAGTGGCGCCAAGCTGGACCCCTTCGACGATGCGGTCATGTTTATAAAGACTCAGACAGAGGGGCTTCGATCTCACACTCTCCCCTGTGCCTCTCTTGAACTCCAAGTGATGTGTAGAACATTCGAACTTGTTTAAATTACAGTAATGACTGGTTCCCTTGCACTACAGCCTATGTCAGGCCTTGAAGAGGGTTCCGGGGTGGAGGTTTAGCAGTTCCGGCGCAGTTTTGATGGTAATTCAGATGTAATTACACGAAGCCTCTCACTGGGGGAGTGTTGATATATGCGGAAGGTGACCTTGTGCTGGGTGAGGAGCTGTCAGCGTTGCGACTATGGGCAAGGACTCTTGACCTTGATGACTACAGGTACTGATCGAGGGGTCAAGGGTCAAGGAGGTGTGTGTAGCCCCCAGGGAGGAGGGGGACCATCGCGTGGCACTGTCAACGCATGTCACGTATGTTGGTCTCATGCATGGTGCTGTCAATCACCCGCCTTGCACATTCCTGCCGGGGTTCCTGCACCTCTTGTTCTAACATATATGTTCTACCTTACTCATGTGTCACTGACACACCTGTTGCTCTTACATCTGTCTCTCTGTCTCTGTCTGTCTGTCTCTCTCTCTCTCTCTCTCTCTCTCTCTCTCTCTCTCTCTCTCTCTCTCTCTCTCTCTCTCTCTCTCTCTCTCTCTCTCTCTCTCTCTCTCTCTCTCTCTCTCTCTCTCTCTCTCTCTCTCTCTCTCTCTCACACACACACACACACACACACACACACACACACACACACACACACACCTGCAGCACTCAAAATAATTGTTACTTGCAGGCATTTGTCTCTGATGCTCGCAAAGACATAACCTTCTTAGACATCTGTTAATCCTGCAGACCCACACACCTCCCCCACACACCTCCCCCACACACCTCCCCACACACCTCCCCCACACACCTCCCCCACACACCTCCCCACACACCTCCACACAGACGCGCCAGCAAAAGTGTCTATATATATATACTCAGGAAGACAAATCGACAGAGGTGAGCCATTCCCATCAAAAGTTCAAGTAAACCTGAACCAAATATCATAAAAATCCCTTATTTTTGGCCCATTAACTTGAAACATTAACAATGTGATAAACCTTCACAAGTTAGGGGAAGTTATTCCTAAACTACAAAGTGTATTTCATTGCCTTTTCTCAGGATGGGCATAAAAGGTATCACGTTTTGGGTACGATGTTGTTGACAATGAACTCCTGTTGGACTCAGGACTCTGTTGATGCGAATCAATTCGTGAGTTTTGGTAATTGAAGATGAGGGGAAATAAAAATAATATATATAGAATGCTTCTCACACCATGAACATGGGTTCCAAAGGTGTACATCGCAGTAGTTACCATGAATGTGGATTTAAAATGGATTCTCTCACGGACCATATCAATACAGGCCTGGGTACAGGCCGAGCTTGCTGTGGGCATGCAGATAGTGGCCCAGTTGCCGTCGGGTCGGCCCAGAGGCCGTCGGGGCGGCCCAGAGGGGTCGTTGGGGCGGCCCAGAGGCCGTCGGGGCGGCCCAGAGGGGTCGTTGGGGCGGCCCAGAGGCCGTCGGGGCGGCCCAGTTGCCGTCGGGTCGGCCCAGAGGCCGTCGGGGCGGCCCAGAGGCCGTCGGGGCGGCCCAGTTGCCGTCGGGGCGACCCAGAGGCCGTCGGGTCGGCCCAGAGGCCGTCGGGTCGGCCCAGAGGCCGTCGGGTCGGCCCAGAGGCCGTCGGGGCGGCCCAGAGGCCGTCGGGGCGGCCCAGAGGCCGTCGGGGCGGCCCAGTTGCCGTCGGGGCGGCCCAATCACCCACTGTTGATCATTCTCTCTCTCCCCTGACAACATTGCCACCTTTTGGTTTGTTTTGTAGCAAGTGTGGTGTGCTTGATGTATTCATGTCCTCTGAAGATTGGTCCTTGGACACTAGTGATGTTCCCTGTATTTTGTTCATAGGAAGATAATGTTCTCTGAATATTGTTTCCAGGAGGACAATGTTCTCTGTAGATGTTCCCAGGAGGTTAATGTTCTCTGTAGATGTTTATAGGAGAACAATGTTCTCTGTAGATGTTCCCAGGAGGTTAATGTTCTCTGTAGATGTTTATAGGAGAACAATGTTCTCTGTAGATGTTCCCAGGAGAACAATGTTCTCCGTTGATTGTTCCTTGGGGATAATAATGATATACTCTTTAGACTGTTACCTGCAGAATAATATTTTACTTTTAAGATCATTTAAGCTTTAAATACTTATTATATTTCTTTGCCCAAAGTGTTAACCTGTTGAGCTGATATGATGAGTTTGTATGTGATGATTCCTTGATGAGCATACCGTTTGTGTGACGTGTTATTGTTCTGCCTTGTTTGTATCTCTTTATTTCTCTTCTCTCCAGAGAGAGAGAGATCTCTCTCTGTCTCTCTCTCTGTCTGTCTGTCTATCTGTCTGTCTGTCTCTCTCTCTCTCTCTCTCTCTCTCTCTCTCTCTCTCTCTCTCTCTCTCTCTCTCTCTCTCTCTCTCTCTCTCTCTCTCTCTCATCAGAGCTTATTACTGGGACAATTATTTGAAGTTGCTCATCAGTTTAACAATGCTTTTCATGTCAAATTATAATCTGTAATTTTTAAGAGTGGAATAAAATAGAATTGACCACGTAATACGGGTTTTACTCTCATCAGTGATTGGTTGCACACACACACACACACACACACACACACACTAGTGTGGGTCTGGTAGCTGAGCGGACAGCGCGCAGGACTCGTAATTCTGTGGCCCGGGTTCGATTTCCGGACCAGGTAGAAACAAATGGTGTTACGATATATCGTATCGTGTTATTTCATCGCATAAAGGCACGATTATTTAAGTCATACGTTCATTATTACAGGAAGAACGAGGTTAACAACCATGGAGGTCGTTAACGGTCAGCACGGTATGGCTCGTCCGGTGGCGGGAATTTCTGTTAGCCAATCAGAACCACCGGGCGAGGTAACGTGTGCTGGCCGGAGCATGTGGAGGGACAGACCTCTACTCCCCTCCATTGAGTCAACAGGCTGTCGTAGCGTTTGGATGTGTGACCAACGGACCCAACTGCTAGTGTGCTCCACCCGCATGAAGGAAGAGGACCTCGAGGCATGGTCGACGTTCTTGAAAGTTATGGAAGATAACAGCTTTGAGATTTAGAGGTCGGCGTGGAGGTAACGCGCTGATTTTCCTGATAGCGGTACAAATTGCAGGAAAGTAGATGATTTATAAGTGGGAAGATCAATCGGACCAGAGACGTCCGTAGCATGGTCGTAGTATCTCTCTCTCTCTCTCTCTCTCTCTATATATATATATATACTATATATATATATATATATATATATATATATATATATATATTCAGTTGCATATTGTCCTGGGGACCATTCAGGCTTGTTCGCATATATATATATATATATATATATATATATATATATATATATATATATATATTTAACTGTACTGTGTACAATGCACACACACACACACATATATATATATATATATATATATATATATATATATATATACATGTAAAATATTGTATATAAGGTGATTAGAGATATATCACAATATATCCATGATGAAGTTTTATACCATCTTATTTTCTTGTCCTTTGTCAGACCTCAGCACAAAGTGTGTCGCACCTGACAACAGGTCCGGCTGAGGCTGACACCTGTTCAGATTAATGTACCCCGTTATAGTACAACGAAGCATGAGGATAAACATTCAGAATAAACCTAAATTAAATGTGTTGGGTTGTCAACAGTTCGATCCCAACAATGGGGAAAGTTTCTTTCACCCTGAATGCCCCCTGTTACCTAGCAGTAAATAGGTACCTGGGAGTTAGTCAGCTGTTACGGAGCTGCTTCCTGGGGTGTGTGTGTGTGTGTGTGTGTGAGTAGTGTACTAAGTGTCATTAATACATACTAAGCTAGTGTACCTTGAGTGTTGGGAGAGGAATGACAGAGCCAACCAGGAGGGAAGGTTCAGGGAGACGTAGGGGGGGGGGGGGTTCTTGAGGTTATCTTGAGATGATTTCGGGGCTTTAGTGTCCCCGCGGCCCGATCCTCGACCAGGCCTCCACCCCCCCAGGAAGCAGCCCGTGACAGCTGACTAACACCCAGGTACCTATTTTACTGCTAGGTAACAGGGGCATAGGGTGAAAGAAACTCTGCCCATTGTTTCTCGCCGGCGCCCGGGATCGAACCCAGGACCACAGGATCACAAGTCCAGTGTGCTGTCCGCTCGGCCGACCGGCTCCCCCCCGGGGGGGGGGCGGGGGGGCGGCCTCACACACAATCCAGTCGTAGGGAAAGGACGGATGACATTAGTGGAACGCATGAATGAGGACCAAGGGACGGTCTTTATCACAGTAGAACTTGAGAGCAGCAAGTAAGTTCAGTATAGAACTTCGGTTTCAACTCTTTTTGCCATGTCGTAGCTCAGTCGATTAAGACAGCGTCTGGGATGCTCTCAGACGCAGATTCGAATCCTCGTCACGGCCCTTGTGGATTTGTTCATTAGAGAGAAACAACGCAGGAAGAGCTGGAGGAGGAGAAATGTTTAGGCACTTCAGGGGGCGTCACATTCCAATTTGCCCTAAAAATGCAACAAATGAAAACTCGTTCGATTTCAATCAAACTTTTTTGACAAGTTCTATATGAAAAGTGTTTCATCTGGTCCAAGTTTCAGCATCGTAGCATAAATAGGAAGGGAGAAAAAAAATATTGAAGAAGTTGTGAAAATTATGCCAAAATGGTCAAAATCGATTATCAATCAAAAGTGTCAACTGAAATCATAGCTATGACTCTTTGCTATCACAATAGCATATATTAAACAAATATTATAATTAGTTTAATTGAAAAAAAAATTTAAGACTTTTTTTTTTTTTTTTTTTTCATTTTTATTCGGGCGATTTGCATCAAACTTACACACCTGACTGTACGTAAGCCTATCTGTAAGGACGCCAATTTTGGAGAAAATTGGTTGATGTCAACCTCAGCCACAGATTTTAGAACCTTAGACTTCATTCATTTCTGTTTTTTTTTTCAATTGACACAAACGTTTACAAAACTGATTCATTTTTTATTCAATTTATATGAAACTTACAGTATATGTGGAGGGCATGTCTCTACATTGGAGAGTTTTCATTGTTCTCTAAGTTCATTTATTGATTTTATAATAGCAATAAACATGCCATATTTGCAAAAAAAAATTTGGAAACTTTGAACATTTGTATTAGGAAAACTAAAGATGTTTTGGAAATTCTATATCTCAAGGTCCTTTATTATATGCTAATGTGTCAGAAAAGTGTCACAGAATAATTATATCTGAAACGTGTGTTCTGAAGTGTAGACTTGAAAATGTGTAAAAAAACGTTGAAAAAAAACAAAAAAAATCTCCCTTTCTATTTACGCTGCAGTACTGAAACTTGGGACAATTAAAGCACTTTTCATATACAACTAGTCAAATAATATTGGTTGACATTGAACAACTTTGACTCTGATAATCTGACGGCCCCTTCAAGAAGAGGGATCTATAGCTTCTGCCTCTCTGGGAAGTCGGCCTCAAGAACTACAAGGTAGGGTACACATAAATGAGGTTATGATAATAATAATTCATTGTGTCGGGGGACAGGAAGCCAGAGTGTATTCCTACACGTTAGGCTTTTATCGTGATCCTCCCCCTCCCCCTCAATACAATACAATACAATTTTATTTAGGTAAGGTACATACATACAATAAATTTTTACAAGGATTGGTTGACTTATAGGTAGAGCTAGTACATACAATGCCTAAAGCCACTATTACGCAAAGCGTTTCGGGCACTATTCGGGCACTAAGCCACTATTACGCAAAGCGTTTCGGGCGTTTCGGGCTTTGGCCTCCCACCAAAGGTCGAATTACTGACCCCGTCCAGGACCCTTACAACAAACTGACTAACTCCTGAGTACCTACTCACAGCTAGGTGAACAGAGGCATTAAGTGAAAGCAAATGTGCCCAACCATTTCTGTCCCGACCGGCATTCGAAGCCGAAATTCTCGATTGTGGGTCGAGAACGAACCCGCCTGTACTAGAAAGACCTTTTGAAGGCATACAGGTAAATCTTGACTGTGACGAACAGTGACACCTTGAGCCATGTAGAAGACCTGATATAGGTTACTTCACAGAATACAAACAGTTGAAGAGGAACGGAAGGCAACAAAGTGAGGTAAGATAACAGAGAAGAGACTTGACTTTTAACAAGCCGCCGGTTTCTTGTCCTCGTCGAGGCCAATAGAGAAATAATGTCCTTCGGGTAAATGCAGGTAAATTAAATATAGGTGTTAGCCACTAAAATCATTCCTCGTTCTTTTACAACGCTACACATTACAGAAAACGGTAATACCAGAACTTTTGAGAGTAAACTTTAATAATAATTCATTAGATCTGGGAACAGGAAGCTAGAGTGAATATATGACTTTACCTGAGGGCCAATAACCCTAGTGGCCTCGACGAGGACAGGAAACCGGCGGCTTGTCGAAGGTCTCCATTTAACTTGAAGGTCCCCCCACCAAGTCCCCCCCAATACTGTACTGCACAATATTGTTGATCATGTACTGTACCCCACAATATTGCTGTACACGTGCTGTACTGCACAGTATTGCTGTACATATGTATGTATTCCTAATATTTTACTAAGAACTATCATCATTTTTGGCTGCTTTTATGTAATCTCTTATTTCTGGAAAAGGGAATTAAAGCGATTTGGCTTCAATGGCTCTGCAAAACTATGCATAATATAACTTTGATAATTGATCATTACCTAATCATGACGATATGAGCTGTTTACATGTGTTTACCTTTTTTTTAATAGCCACATTAACCAGAACGTGGTCAGCTGTTTAGGTCAAGGGTCCACAAACAGTTAGATGCGGCCTTTATATTAGGTGAGTATACAAAGAGTCGAGAGTTACGGGTTATTCATGCCCGTGCCACGTCTTGGGTGGCTTAATCTTCATCAATCAATCAATCAAAGAATAGAGACGATTCATGCTGTGAGTTTCCGTAGATGAGGACATTGTATATAACAGTAAGGAAAAGAATTACGAGAACTCACTCAATACATGATACACAAATATAGGACAAGATGAATATGTTGTTGGCTTATATAGTTATCAGAGTATGTGTCGTAATGAATGATCTGTTTATCAGAGTATGTGTCGTAAATGAATAATTTGCTTAACAGAATATGTGTCGTGAATGAATAATTTGCTTATCAGAATATGTGTCGTGAATGATTTATCATGATTCTGGTATGACTCAGGCATTCCACGCTTCAATATGTAAGGAAATTTAGTTTTAAGTTTCACTGGCTTTCTCAGTGTTGCTCTGGCCTCGAGCTGTGGGAAAGAGGTCTCATAACTCATGTTAGTTAACTAACATGAGTTATGAAACCTTAACACTTGACAAAGTTACAGTCTATAAACATGATGACAATTGACACTATCATCGGTGACAAATCATCTTGCAACAACTGTTAAATAATGCCCATCAAAGCTGCTAGTAAAGTCAATGTGTAAATTGCATCTATAAAAGGAAGATTCGGGCTTCTGATTCATGGGTGACAGAGATTAAATACAAGAAAGTGTAAACATATGTCGCATATATTGTTCCAGTAACGATATATTGTCTGTATCATCACCCTTCACCACCATCTCTAAAAAATTTACAGAAGAGGCTACAGGCAAATTCCAAGTTGTTCTCAGTTGACAAGTGATGCCATAAGTATACTTAAGGTAAGTAAGTGTCCTGGTAAGTGTCTAAATCATGAGGGCAAATACGAGTGACCTTTGACAAGCCGCCGGCTTGTCTTCGTGTCCCCATCGAGGCCACTATAGTACTATTGGCCCTTCAGGTAAATTCAGTTCCAGGGCTGGTGGCTGCCGCCATGCCTTTGCAAGTTGGTAATTATTTTTTTTTTGTAACCCTCAAAGAGTCGGGTGTATCGTCACGCTTGCCTATAAAAATGGTGCTGAATGCAGATTATAGGTTTCACCACACCACGGGGCTCGAACCGTGTGCTTAGGAACAGCGGAACATCTTCTGTCTCCCTTGACAAAAACATTTACAGAAACACTGTTATTTTCACAGTTCTTTGCTAAAGAATGTGTTTATGTACTGTGTTCCGAGTCATGGGAGCTGATACTATCCGAAATGAACACTTCTTACGCAACAGGACTGGCTTTTTCTGCAACATTTTAGCGTGTTGGCAGGGGAGGCGGTGTGGGCATGGGGGGGTGGCAAGGAGCAGGGTGGGCTGGGTATTGGGTGGGTGGGGCGTCGGGTGGGCGGCCGAGCGGTGGTCGGCCGGGAGGGCAGAGTGGGTCGGCCGGGCCCCCTCTGTGGGGCAGCCAGTGAGCCCTGGCTGCTCGTCACGCGCGGAGGGAGGTGTAGCGCTGCCCGCCGTCACCTGTCTGTGGGGGTGGGATGTTCACACCACTGGACCTATCCCCATGTACAGTAGGAAAACGAAAGTGGTTGAGCGCGCCTCCGGTGAACGCTCCGTGTAGCGAAACAAACAGGAACTAATTTGGAAAGTGCAGAGGTAGATTTATTACCCCTAGTACTTATTATTTGCAACTTGAAGAACTGAGTGCAATAGTTTTCTATATCTTGTGACGAAATAAAGATGGGCACGGAGGGGAGATAAGCAGTTGTTTGCCATGGTGATTCAACCACTTCAAGGTAATATTATTATGCCAAAGTGAATCATTGTCCCCCCAAAATTATTGCGTGTGCTCGTATCCACGAGTATTTGTTAAGAAATGAGCATAATTTGAACTCCACGCGAGGAAAAAAGAAAGTTTATGAAAATACGAGGGAAGATAAAACTGGCTTGCTTACACGTGTTTGGGAGTTGCAAGCGGTGAGTGCAGTCATCTGACGGGTCGGCTATGTTGCGGTGTCTCTTCCTGGGACCCTGTGAAAGCTGGTGAACACCGCGTGAATGCTGGTGAACACCGCGTGAAAGCTGGTGAACACCGTGTGAAAGCTGGTGAACACCGTGTGAAAGCTGGTGAACACCGTGTGAAAGCTGGTGAACACCGTGTGAAAGCTGGTGAACACCGTGTGAAAGCTGGTGAACACCGCGTGAAAGCTGGTGAACACCGTGTGAAAGCTGGTGAACACCGTGTGAAAGCTGGTGAACACCGTGTGAAAGCTGGTGAACACCGCGTGAAAGCTGGTGAACACCGCGTGAAAGCTGGTGAACACCGCGTGAAAGCTGGTGAACACCGCGTGAAAGCTGGTGAACACCGCGTGAAAGCTGGTGAACACCGCGTGAAAGCTGGTGATCACCGGGTGAAAGCTGGTGAACACCGCGTGAAAGCTGGTGAACGCCGCGTGAAAGCTGGTGAACGCCGCGTGAAAGCTGGTGAACGCCGCGTGAAAGCTGGTGAACGCCGCGTGAAAGCTGGTGAACGCCGCGTGAAAGCTGGTGAACGCCGCGTTAAAGCTGGTGAACAGCGCGTGAAAGCTGGTGAACAGCGCGTGAAAGCTGGTGAACACCGCGTGAAAGCTGGTGATCACCGCGTGAAAGCTGGTGAACACCGCGTGAAAGCTGGTGAACACCGCGTGAAAGCTGGTGAACACCGCGTGAAAGCTGGCGAACACCGCGTGAAAGCTGGCGAACACCGCGTGAAAGCTGGTGAACACCGCGTGAAAGCTGGCGAACACCGCGTGAAAGCTGGTGAACACCGCGTGAAAGCTGGCGAACACCGCGTGAAAGCTGGCGAACACCGCGTGAAAGCTGGCGAACACCGCGTGAAAGCTGGTGAACACCGCGTGAAAGCTGGTGAACACCGTGTGAAAGCTGGTGAACACCGCGTGAAAGCTGGCGAACACCGCGTGAAAGCTGGCGAACACCGCGTGAAAGCTGGCGAACACCGCGTGAAAGCTGGTGAACACCGCGTGAAAGCTGGTGAACACCGTGTGAAAGCTGGTGAACACCGCGTGAAAGCTGGTGAACACCGCGTGAAAGCTGGCGAACACCGCGTGAAAGCTGGCGAACACCGCGTGAAAGCTGGCGAACACCGCGTGAAAGCTGGTGAACACCGCGTGAAAGCTGGTGAACACCGTGTGAAAGCTGGTGAACAATGAAAAGTTGAATTTTAATCCAAAGGTTGTGGAGTGCGTGTCGAGCTGAGTGTTCTTGGATCTTGAAAATGGTTTCAGTGAAACTAGGAAATAATTAATAATAATAACTACGAATCTTAGCAGGAAATTTAGACTTGTTTATTATATAAAGAGTTGTCTTACATTTTTTATATAAAAGTGTTAAATAAATTAGATAATTAAAAGTAAAATAATCACAAGAAGCTATTTTTCAATAGGCTGTGAAATTCCTCAAGGCCTAAAAAGTTTTGAAAAAATACCTAAATAAAGATCATAGTTATTTTTTTTAGTGTGTAACTACCGGAAGTAGAGCACATTAACAGGCTTAAACATCATCTTAATGAACAAATCCACAAGGGCCGTGACGAGGATTCGAACCTTAATGCTTTGGTCATGTAGGCCTATGTCACCAACCAATGGGATTCCTTGTTTCTCGAAGAACAGCAGCAGTAAAGGAGTGAAACCGGTGAGTGAAACACCTATATCAAACTTCATTACCAGATTGTTTATTGAGAGATACAGCTATAGTTGTGCAAGCTGCGAGCACTGACAATCTGATTGACCAAACCACCAATTAGACTTGGCGAGAGACCGTGTCGCAAGGGCATTGACCCCCACAGAGCGGTTACCTTGCAATGATTTCGAGGCTCACCGTCCCTGCGGCCCGGTCCTCGACGAGGCCTCCTGGTTGCTGGACTAGTTCAACCAGGCTGTTGGAGGCGGCTGCTCGCAGCCTGACGTATGAGTCACAGCCTGGTTGATCAGGTATCCTTTGGAGGTGCTTATCCAGTTCTCTCTTGAACACTGTGAGGGGTCGGCCAGTTATACCCCTTATGTGTAGTGGAAGCGTGTTGAACAGTCTCGGGCCTCTGATGTTGATAGTTCTCTCTCAGAGTACCTGTTGCACCTCTGCTCTTCAACGGGGTATTCTGCACATCCTGCCATGTCTTCTGGTCTCATGTGATGTTGTTTCTGTGTGCAGGTTTGGGACCAGCCCCTCTACCCCTCTACTATTTCCCACGTGTTAATTATTATTAACCTCCACATTTTGTAACTACCATTCCCAAACATTAAGACTATCCCGACACCATATTGAGATACTCTACCTCTTACCGAAACTGAGGAACCCGCATGGCTTCCCCCACCCCCCTCCACTGTGGCTAGTCTTGCATCCCATGAGACATAGGAAGAGGGGTAGATACCGTAGTACAGTTAAGCGGGAAGCGTAATTGCTCGTCGTACAAAGCGAATGGTTGTTAACCGGTGTTATCACAATTGCAGGGGAAATGCCGTATCTTTTCTGTTGATCTGTGCGGCATTTGTTTCTAAACGGGTTCCAATAACGGACCCACCCCCACCCTGAATTCCGTTTTTGAAACCAGTTCTGTATATGAACTGGGTATGTACCCTATACCCATCCCAGGCAACCCGTCCTCCTAATAGAGCGTCGCATTTTGACGTATACTGCAACAAAAGGCCAAAATCGCTGTATTGTACTTGAAATTGGTATCTGGTTGCATAGATTGACATGCTGTCCCGTTTTCTGTTTTGGGTCCTCTGGTAGGTTAGGATTAGGGGGCACTTTAGTACAATAGTTTCTTGACGTTGGGAGACCTTAGGAGGACGGGCTGTCGACAGCCCGCCAAACACACACCGAAACTACGACGTTGCTACAACGTTCGAACAAGTTTTACCGCCACCTAACCAGTTATAACTACCAATATAGTAAGTTGTAACAACGTTCTAATACGTCATAAACACGTTAAGCCAAGATGTAACAACTTTATTACAAGTTGTAACAAGCGGAAAATAGAGACAGTTTCGGTTTGTGTTTCCAGGGCTGTGAGTGGTAGTGGACCCCATGTCTATCCTGTGAGTGGTAGTGGACCCCATATCTATCCTGTGAGTGGTAGTGGACCCCATATCTATCCTGTGAGTGGTAGTGGACCCCATATATATCCTGTGAACGGTAGTGGACCCCATATCTATCCTGTGAGTGGTAGTGGACCCCATATCTATCCTGTGAGTGGTAGTGGACCCCATATATATCCTGTGATTGGTAGTGGACCCTATATCTATCCTGTGATTGGTAGTGGACCCCATATCTATCCTGTGATTGGTAGTGGACCCCATATATATCCTGTGAACGGTAGTGGACCCCATATCTATCCTGTGAGTGGTAGTGGACCCCATATCTATCCTGTGAGTGGTAATGGACCCCATATCAATCCTGTGAGCGGTAGTGGACCCCATATCTATCCTGTGAGTGGTAATGGACCCCATATCTATCCTGTGAGCGGTAGTGGACCCCATATCTATCCTGTGAGTGGTAATGGACCCCATATCAATCCTGTGAGCGGTAGTGGACCCCATATCTATCCTGTGAGTGGTAGTGGACTCCATATGTAAGCAGTCGCCGTGGCGAAGTGGTAACACACTCGCCCGCCGTTTCACGAGCACTTTGACCTGGGTTCATATCCTGGCCGGGGAGGATTGACTGGGCACCAATCCTTAAACTGTAGCCTGTGTTCACTCAGCCGTGAATAGGTACCTGCTTGTTAAACAATTTGGCGGGGTCGTGTTCCAGGGACCACAGGATTAAGGACCTGCCCGAAACGCTACGCGTACTAGTGGCTGAACAAGAATGTATAAACTTTTATATATAAATAAAAAAAAAATAGCCATTGTCTGAGCTGTAGTGAAAAATTACAGAAACACACAATGTGTTCAGGAACTGAACCTCGATGTGTGTTTTTTTTTTTTTTATTAACTTGGATATATCCACGAGCATCTCTCCTGTGCCAGGTAAGTTACGGGCTCGCCATAGCCCGTGCTGCTTGGAACTTGTTCCGAGTAGCTGAATCTATAACAACAACAACATGGATATATCACTGAGCTAACCTCAAGATCTCAAGAGAGTTACATAACATAAATAAATCAACTGTTAAATTTTATGTAATTGGCTCGACTAACAACCTTTCGGTGCCTTGGGCCCTCTCGAGGTGACGGCAGTGGCACGGTGATCAAGTGTGGAGATAGAGATGGTTTATGGCATCCGCAAGGTGGCACTGTGCCTCTGAGAGAGTAACGATACACACCCTAGACACACACACACACCCTAGGCACACACACACACACACCCTAGGCACACACACACACACCCTAGGCACACACACACACACACCCTAGGCACACACACACACACCCTAGACACACACACACACACCCTAGGCACACACACACACACCCTAGGCACACACACACACCTTAGGCACACACACACACCCTAGGCACACACACACACACCCTAGGCACACACACACACCCTAGGCACACACACACACCCTAGGCACACACACACACACCCTAGGCACACACACACCCTAGGCACACACACACACCCTAGGCACACACACACACACCCTAGGCACACACACACACCCTAGCGCACACACACACACACCCTAGGCACACACACACACCCTCGCTAATGGCTCTACCAACTACCACCTGAATTGTAATGTTGATATAAGGCCTGCAGGCCGCTCCAAGCAACAGCCTGTTGGACCAAGTTATCACAAAGTTAAGCCTGGCCTCAGGCCGGGCTCGGGGAGTAGACGAACTCCCGAAACCTTCTCCAGGTATGTTCCAGGTAAATGAGTAATACATATTAAAAAAAAACACACAAACTACTGGATTATTCACAACCAGAGAGTGACGAGCGACATAGATCATATAGAGAATTAGTAATATATTATACGAAGGCCAATTAATGAGCTGAATGTATTTAGTAACTAGGGGGGAGGGGGTGTACCCGGCGATACCCGGGTCTGTCTGTGTCTCCCATCTGTGTCGCACCTTCCTAAAAGAATTGGGGTCGGGTGTGCTCAACAGATGGCGTCGACACTGTCACAAACTGCATGCACCGTACGTGTGATAATGCAGGCAATTAACGTATGGGAGAGCATGTACCTGGGTGAGTGAGCGTATACCACAGCATAATACTCTCTTCCAACTATAATACAATAATCTCCCATCACTAGGTCATGTCTCTGCACCGTACAGCATGGCCTTATGAAATGAGGACACTAAGGACTCACAAAATATAATTTGGTTTCAAGGGTGTAGGGAAACCCGGAGCTTGTAGCCAATATATATGAGAGAATACTAACGTCGCAGGTGGAGGAATGGGGGAGCTGGTCGGCCGAGCGGACAGCACGCGGGACTCCTAATCCTGTGGTCCCGGGTTCGATCCCGGGCGCCGGCGAGAAACAATGGGTAGAGTTTCTTTCACCCTATACCGCTGTTACCTAGCAGTAAAATAGGTACCTGGGTGTTAGTCAGCTGTCACGGGCTGCTTTCTGGGGGTGGAGGCCTGGTCGAGGACCGGGCCGCGGGGACACTAAAACCCTGAAATCATCTCAAGATAACCTCAAAATGGTAGGAAGCTTCTCTTACTGAAAAAAATAGGTTCAGTAAACCTATTTCTAATCCGTCCTCCTAAGGTCTCCCAACGTCAAGAAACTGTCCTACTAAAGTGCCCCCTTATCCTAACCTACCAGAGGACCCAAAACAGAAAACGGGGACAGTACGTCACTTTCGCCAGCCGCTACCATTTTCTAGTACGACAATTTTTTGCCCTTAGATGGAGTATACGTCAAAATTATGACGTTCTATTAGGAGGGCGGAGGTTGCATACCAACCTTGCAACAGGAAGGTGACCTCTCTAGGAATCCATTGATGCAACACCATGAAGCAGGATGCTTGGGTCTCCTCTTGCAAGTACTTTCTCCTCAACACACACCGCACGCGCTACACATATGGGCGGCTGCTCTCAAGTGCAGCGTGATGGATGCTGCTGCATGCACATGGGATGCACCAGCGTGCACATGGGATGCACCAGCGTGCACATGGGATGCAACAGCGTGCACATGGGATGCAACAGCGTGCACATGGGATGCAACAGCGTGCACATGGGATGCACCAGCGTGCACATGGGATGCACCAGCGTGCACATGGGATGCACCAGCGTGCACATGGGATGCACCAGCGTGCACATGGGATGCACCAGCGTGCACATGGGATGCAACACACGGTACGCTAGCAATGATGACACCTCCAGAAGGTAGCCATTACTCCTGCACCCCCAGTACATCTTGAGTACCGGAGTGCGGAAGTACTGGAGGTACTCCAGTACTTTCAGCACACTCCAGTACGGCCGAGAAAGGTCAGTGACACCTCTCCGAGTCTCTAGCTCCTGGGGCCAGATTCACAAAGCAGTTACGCAAGCACTTACGAACCTGTACATCTTTTCTCAATCTTTGGCGGCTTTGTTTACAATTACTAAACAGTTAATGAGCTCCGAAGCACCAGGAGGCTGTTTATAACAATAACAACAGTTGATTGGCAAGTTTTCATGCTTGTAAACTGTTTAATAAATGTAACCAAAGCCGTCAAAGATTGAGG